CAAAACCCCAAAACCCCAAAATATACAAGAATAATTGATTTAAACCTAAGCACAAAAATCAAAAGGCTATGGAAATTATAACAACTGAACTATTCACTTTATACAATTAGAACCTCAATAAACCCCAAAACCCCAAAACCCCAAAACCCCAAAACCCCGGATAAAGAACGACAGGTAGAAATAAATATTAACCAATTTAATTCTGAAATAGCAAAAATGACGCAATATTCAAAAGCCCTAGCTAGAGTTAACATTTTGAAAGGACATCTCCGCCCTAGCAAGGAAGCAAAGGAAGAAAGAAAAAACCCATCCTTCAGTGTTGAAGCTGCAAGGGAAGCTTTCTGGGAAACCTACCCAAAAGGCTACTTTGAAGGGTATGAAGCCCTCTCAGAACTTAGAGGAATGACGCATAGATCTTTTTACTTCGAAGATAGAAAGGAAGTCGCGAGAGAAGATACTAACAAGTTCTTTGTATCCTATGTGAACAAAATCTTTGAGAAAGGTTTTACAAATCCCGAGAAAATTGCTGAAAATATTGACTATTTCCTTGCCTGATTTGATTCCATAAATTCTCTGGACTATAATACTCTGACAAAGCTCATGGTACAATACGGGTTGTATTGCAAAACCATTAAGAATCTTGGAACTGAGAAACACAAGGAGATCTTACTTGAAGGCACCTCTCTCAGAACAATGGGTTGCTTCGGTCTGACAGAAATTGGGCATGGCTCAAACGTTAGAGGTATAGAAACAACTGCTGAATACGATCCAGAGACTGAGGAGTTCATCATCAACAGCCCCACAGACACCTCTGCCAAATTTTGGATTGGGAATCTAGCCAAAACTGCTCATAATGCAGTCATATTTGCCCAGCTGATTACTCATGGGGAGAACAAAGGTGTTCATGCATTTGTATTTGAAGTAAGGGATAGAAGTAACCATTTGCCACACCCACGAATCGAGATTGGAGACTGTGGAGACAAGAAAGGTGCCCATGGTATCGACAATGGATGGATCAAATTCAAATATTACAGAGTCCCTAGAGATTCTTTGCTAGATAAATTCGGAAGTGTTGACAAGGAAGGAAACTATCACTCGTCCATTGAGAAAGCTGGAAAAAGATTTGCAAATTCTATTGCTAGTTTAAGCGGGGGAAGAGTTTTGATAAGCCGTCTCTCGTGTGAAGCTGGACTTATTGCTAGTGCAACCGCACTTAGATACGGCTGCGCAAGAAAGCAATTCGGTACAGGCGATGGAGAGGAAGTTGCCCTTATTAATTATCCTTCATATCAATACAGAACAATCACAAGATTCGTTGATCACTTCATTGATGTGATAGGTAAGATATATCATTTTAAATTTTCTAGCTTGTAATAGAATGGTAGATCTCTGGATCTCTAATTTACCGAATCTTCTGAAAGAAAAGAATAGAGTAACAAATCTTTGTCATGGCCTCTGTTCAAACACAAAGGCTTTCGTTGCATGGGGCGTTCATGACTCTCTCTTTGATTTGAGAAGAGCTTGAGGAGGATTCGGTTACTCAAAATATTCTCTTTTTGATGAATTAATAGACATTAACGATCTCAACCAAACTTGGGAAGGAGATAACCATGTTCTCATAATGCAAACCCAGCAATTCCTATTCAAATGTCTAAGATGGCTTTCAAAAGAAGAAGAACTCCCTGAAACAGTGGAATTCTTAACTTTATCACCACCTGAAATAGAGATCACAAAAGTATGAATCTTTGACTTGAATTCCTTGATCAAGATCTTTGCTGATAGAGCAAACCATCTAGTACACAGAGCATCGCATGTGCTAATGATTGATGCTACCAAAATAGCTCAACATTTCGAAGACTCACAAGCCTTCGAGATGCTGGAAATGTGTAGATCTTATCATGACTACTACCTCATCACAAGCTTCAAGAACTGGTTCGAAAAGATTAAATGCGACAAGACCAGAAAAATGTTCGAAAAATTCTTACTATTGAGCATTCACAAGAAGATCCTGGGCGACTCCAAATACTTCAGCCAAATTTTTGAAACCGGAATTATAGACAAAATCCAGGCTCAGGTGGTAAAGACTCTGAAAGAATTAAGGAAAGACATTATTCCACTTACTGACGTCATCCCATATCCTGGCATTATGATGGGAGCTCTTGGTCATGAAGACCTCCAAGTCTATGACAGAATTCTCCAACATGTGAAGGCTACAGACAAGGTCACTGATAAAGCATCATGGTGGAAATTAACATATGCTAACAGTAAGCAAAGATAAGATAGAGGCTAACAATGCTAAACTTTCAATTAATATTGTCGAAATAGGGGTTTTGGGGTTTTGGGGTTTTGGGG